GGCAGGGCCCTCGCTCTGTTCTAGCACAGCTTCCAGCAGCAGGGAACCCACAGGAAAGTGACTTGGGGAGTTCCCTGGGCCTGGGGCTGGGAGCCTCCCATGCAGTCTGCCAGGAAAAGCCTTCCCAGCTGAGAAGAAGCTGCATTTCGGGGCAGAGATATCTTTGAGGGGGTGGAATGGGGCCGTGTGGAAAGTTAGTGGGAAGGAAGAGAAAGAAAAAAAAAAAAAAACCTCACCCAGGAAAGATGGAGTGGGAAAGGCCTTGTGCACAGCACCTCGCCAGGGAGTGGTGGAGAGCTGGCCCCAGGCCAGTCAGGGCGGTGTTGGCCTCTGCCCAGCTCTGTGCCCAGCTCCTGGTGATGCTGCTCCGGTTACATAATCCCTTTAACCCCACCAGCCTCATCTTCAAACCAGGGATGAGAGTGACATCTACCTCCTAAAACTGCCTAGGGCATGACATGAGATAATATATGCAAATTATGTAACAGATGGAGAGGGTCCTGGCGCGGAGTAAATGCTCCAGAGATGCCATTCCTTCGTTTCATTCAGCGTCTGCTATATCCTAGGCACCGTTCTACTGGTGGAGGATGTATTAATGCACAAAACGGGCAAAAATGCCCCATCCCAGGGCTTTCATTCTACCTGGGGTGGAAAGTAGGGGAGAAGACAGACGATAAACCATAATGAAATGAATAGCTCAATGAAGCTGTTACATCAGAAGGTTAAAGTGCCCGGGAACAAAGGAGAAGCACGGCGGACTGAGATTACCATCTTTGCTTTCCAGAATTTGGATAACTTCACTCTTACTCACACTCCCTTCTAAGGAAAAGGGATAAACCCCTTTTGCTCCCGGGCCTGCCTGGGCAAGAGTTTCCAGCTCCGCCCAGTGTTACATCCGACATGAGTTTTAGGGCAAATTCCCTCATTTGTTCTTTTCACTAACAGATGTTTACAGAACATCTGGTCATGCAATGTTCTGTGTGAATCAGATGTTCTTGTCCTGAAGGGCTTTGCAGGTGAGGGAAGAGATGCGTGTGAATAATCTAGGTGAGAAAGTGGTCCAGGCGGGGAGAAGCATGTCTGTACGCCCTGCACGTTGACCTCTGGACTTCGTGCCTCGGCTCCTCACTGGATTCGGAGACTGTTTCAAGTCACCTTGCCTTGGCTTTTTCTTCTGGTGGGTCTGATACAGGAAAAATGGGGCGTGAGAGGATGGCTGTGTCCCAGGTCCCAGGCAAGTCCCTGGGATGCCCCATCAAGTGAGGGTCCTTGGCTTGGCACAGGAAAGAATTTAAGTGGGAGCCATATTGGAGTGAAGGTAGATTTATTCAGAGAGAGACATACTCCGTACAGAGTGTGGACCGTCTTAGAAAGCCAGAAAGAGCGACCACAAACTTAGTTTTTGTGGGCTGAGTAACTTCATATGCTAACAAGTGAGAGGATTATTCCAACTACTTTGGGAAAGGGGCTGAGATTCCCAGGAATTGGGCCATCCCCCACTTTTTGACCTTTTATGGCCAGCCTCAGAACTGCAATGGCGCCTGTTTGGAGCGCCATTTACCATGCTAATATATTACAGTGAGCATATAATGAAGCTTAAGGTTTACTGGAGGTCAAATCTCCTGCCACCCTGGGCCCCAGGGTCTACTGGGAGTTGAATTTTCTGCCATCTTGGTGTCATTCTTTTAATGGTTGTGCCCTGCCCCTTCCCTCCTGTCTCAGCTTGACGGACTGTCCATACCTTAGTGGTCGGGGAAGAGAAAAGACGCTGCTCCTTCTGAGGGGGGAGAGACACTGTCTGAGTTGGCCCTGGAGCAATATCAAGACCCTAAAGCCCCAGTCCCCTGACCCCAGTGGTGAGGAGGAATGCTGTGACCATTTGCCCAGTCAAGCGCCCAGCCTGTGGCATGTCCCTACTTCCCCACCCCTACTGTGTGGCCTCTGTTGCCCTTGCTTGAAGGCAGCCTGACCCTGGCAGGGTGGTGGAGGGGAGAGAGGCCTGGGGAGTCTGTGGCCATGGCAACTTGCTTCTGATCCCACAGCTGCGAGCAAAGGCGGTGGGCCCGGTGCCTCTAGGGCTGTGACTTCTCCAGTGCAAAGGTGGAGGGGCCCAGGTTTGAAGGAGGAGGCTCGGCCGCATGGCTGGGAACCGAGGCCATGTGTGTGTCTGACCACAGGAGCAGACGCTCCGCCTTGGGGTTTGGAGCTGGGAACAGGCCGTCCTCCCCACAGTCCCTGCTCACAAGGACCCCGCAGTGTCTCCTGCGCCCGGCCCCCTCAGCTGCTGAGTCACACTCCCCAGGGTTCACCAAAGCGCTGGGCCAGAGCCGGGCTGAGTCATTAGATGATGAATTGCGGAATTTTTATTCAGGCTGTCACCACAGCGGCGGTGGGCCCTGATCCCCACCCCCTGCTTCCCCACCAAGCAGCTCAAAACATTCTCTTGTCACTTGTCATCCCTTCTCCATCTTGGGGGGCTCTGGCAGGGAGCACAAGGTGGTGGCGGGGTGCGTGGGGCATCCCTGAGCTTCCCTGCCTGTGTCTAGATTCCGGACCTGTTAGAGGGATGGATGGGGCCTGGCTGTGAGCTCAGCGAAGAACCTCAGATCTCATTTTGTTCGGCTCTCTCGTTGATGACTGAGGAAACAGGCTCAGGATTCAGAGGCGGTTGGAAGGGCAGCTTTGGAGTCAGAATCATATCTACTTCTAACAAGCAAACCGAGGTTTCACTGCCTGTAGCGTAATGCTAATGGTGCTGGCTTCGTAGGCCGGGAGGCTTCCGGAAGCCGATGGGTGTGAAGCACGGGTGGGCGGCACTCGATGACTGTTATTTGATCCTGTATCTGATCGGGAGGCCAGAGGCTGAGTGAATTAGAAATAAGGACCTGAGGTCTGAGTCCTTCCTGCTCAGGACTCAGAGGGGAAGGTCAGGAACTCCTTGAAGTCTCCTTTGGAGACCAGGTCAGAGGGCGTGGGTTTGGCCAGTAGGCAGACAGTCCTAAAGCCTAGGTACCTCCCAGCCCTGCGGGGGTCACCGTGGGATCACAAACGCAGGGCGCTACGAGGAGCACACAGGTGCTTGTTTGGTTCTCTCAAACCAGAACACAAGCAGAAACCACGGGTGGGCCCAGCCGCCCTGAATCCCTCACCTACCTCCTTCATACACACCTCCAAGCAGGCCTGTGGGGCCGGAGAGCCTGCTGACTCCCTCCCACCAAACGTGAGCCTGGAAGGTGCACACCTCTGCCCAGAGAGCCCCTCTGTCCTACAGGCCAGAGCGGCCAAGGAGGAGGGCTGGGGCCACAGACGGTGACTGTGCCGGTCACCATGCTCCTGAAATGTCCCCAAGGACTCTGTGTGGCGTCTTTGGAGCTATGACAGGGATGGCAGGCTCTGTAGTTCCCTCCACTTCCTGGGCCTGGGTGCTGACTGTTCCCCATACCCATCAACCATCCGAGAAAAGGTTCAAGTTTTTCCAAAGAATTTATTAAGAAACAGGAAGAAGATATAAAGCACACAATCAAAGGAATGAAAGAGTTTACAGCCCAGATTCTTCGGCCCCTAGGGACTGAGAACAATCTGCCTGGCTGACACCGTGGGACTGAGGCCCTGATTCCTTTTTCAACCCTATTTCTCTTGGTTGCTAAGGCAACCTGTTTAAAATTAATTGGAAGACAAGTCAGATTGCCTTCTAAAACCTCCCCAAACCTGCTTCCTAACTGCCTCCTTACATACGGCCCTCTTCGGCCTAGTCCCAAAGGTCCCTCACCCAGGCTTCAGGTGAAGTCAGCTGACCCTGCGGTGCCTTCCCCACCCCTCCAATCACTCTGTGGTCTCTAGACCGATTTTTGATCTTGTTCTGATCCACTTAATTAAACTACACTCGTGAACCAGTTGGGAAAGCTGGTTCTGCTAGCTTTGGTCAAGTTACCTATTTTCCTAAGCCTGCATCTGAACTTGACCTTTCTCCTGTTTGGGCTATCTTCTTGAGCAGTCTCTCTGGCAGCTCCCTGCCCCCTCTAGTCCAAGACTGCTTTCTCCCCCAGACAGAACTCTGCACCCCCATCCAATCTCCCATTTAATGCATGGCATAGCTGTAGTTCTCAGCTGACCTGCCCAGGAGGGATGGCCTAACACCTTGATCTTGGCACCTACTTGCCGAACCTTGCCCAGCTCAGATCACCAACCTCATCAACTTCCTCGGAGTCTTTCTGACTTCTCTCTTGGATGTCTGTCTTTTTTGAATATTGTCTCTGGAGATTTATTATATGACATGGCTTTATAGATACAGTAATAATGACTACAGCAAAAGGAGAGTTATTCCCTCCCAAATTAGATTTTCTCTAAAATATCAAAAGATTGGGCCACGCTTGCTGTTTCGAACGTCTCCACGTCTCTGGTTATCAGGCCTTCATTAGTACAGCCTGATTCTCCACTGGAATAGCACTGACCCTTAGCAAGGTGCCCATTGGTCCCTTCTGTTCCTGTGGTCACTGTTGTGTCTTACAAATGGCTTCTCCAAATAACTGCTGGAAAGCAAAACAGCCTCCTCCAAAGGAGAAGCAGGTAAGAACTCTGCCCAGATGCTCCTGAGCTTTCCCCTCATAACACACGCACAGAACATCCCCATTCGCGCTTACCCTGCTGGAAGACTAGTAAGTCAGTACAAGTCGGTTAAACTTTTCCCTAACCAAGACCTCAGATTTGAGCTTTATGATATACAAAAGACACCCACGGCTCACAACAACCCTGTGAGGTGGGCATGCAGGGTTCTCCGCTCTCTTTCTCTCTCCCTGAAAGGCACACTCCTTTCACCAGTACGTGCACAAACTGGAAAGTTCCAAACAGGAAAAGGAATGATCGATCGCGTTAATTGCCATGGTCCACGGTGGCATGGGGGTGGAGGGGTGTTGACTCTTTCACGATGTTCCTGATTTCTTAACACCTGTAGCTGAACCAAGAACTCTCTCTCTGCGCTGAGTGGTGCTTTTTTCAGGATTCATTCGGATTCCTGGGTCACAGTTGAGGCGCTGGGGATTTCACCTCCAAATTATGCTCAATGCTGTACTTCCCATCCACTTCACATTTGCCACGGGTGCCTTCCCACCCCTACCCTCCCACAAAGAAAATTCAGTATTTCTGTCAATTGTCTGATGCTCGGCTTCCCAGGATTCTCACAGTCCTGGAGAGCCCTGTGTCTCCTTCATCTTTAGAGCATCTGTGGGATTCTCTTCCTGCGTGCAGGTGATGCTTCCCTTCTGAAGTTCTCTATTCCTGCTTTGCCTCCTATGTGTTCCACCAGCCAGGCCCTCTGCATATGATTCCTGTGCAGCTCTGCAAATTTGTCGCTCCAACCTGAAAGCATATGATCCCCTAGAGGCCAGCACCTCCCAAGACCCGCTCCGCACACATTAGCAGGTCCCCCCCTGCCATCTCATCTCTTTTGTGACTCAGAGCTGAGCCACCCTCCTGGAGGCTAGAGTAGTCTGTGTCCACAGTGCCCCCTACTGGATATTTCCCACAAGCCAAGGTTTTGGATGATTCGGTTGGTCCCATCTGATTTCTAGATATCAATTCATTCCACAGACATTACTGAGCACTTACTAGACGCCATCACTGCTGACTCTGCAGAGAGAGCTGCAAAGAAGACAGACATAGCCCCCTACTCGTGTAACTCATTCTATACCAGCTGGTTCCACAGAACCACCAGCTCTTGATTTCCAGTTCTGAATTAGCTGGTGAACCCAACAAGACCTTCCCCGCCTCTGGACCCTCCACAATGACCAATCACCGGAGGGGACCGCCTGACCTCTGCATACCTTCCCCAGGCAAATTCCTCAGCCAGTCACCAGACAGGCCTCTGCTCTGATGACCCTTCCCACTCCTACCCCTCCTCCAACAGAACCGTCTCTCCTGACTCACGTATTCATTTGCAAGGCCAGTAGTTATTCTTGAATATCGCTTTTTTGAAAAAAAATTTTGAGTATCATCTATAGAGGTGCACTTTTCTGAAGTAAATATTCAGGTACATATGTTATTTAATGGACAATAATAACTAGTAGAAATGTGCATATATGAATACCAGGAAATAAGTCAAACAGAACCCAATCTCCCCAATCACTGACTATTTACATATTTTCAACCTATTTCCACCCGGGAACTATTCAGGTATACTTTACCCTGTAGCTAACCTTATGGGATCATAAATCCAAAATATATTTTTTTAAAACCCATGATTGCATCATATAACATCATACCCTTCTAAATTGTTCTCATAGTTGTCATATACGAAGGCAGTAGCTCACTGTCGTGCTAGACCACAGTCTACTTGGCAATACCCCCAAGCTGAGCCGTTTCCTGTCAATGACTATAATATATAGAGTGGCCACAAATACCTATGGGCAAATACTATTTTTCTCTTGACTTATTTTCCCAGAATGTATTCCCCAAAGAGAGATAACTTTATCTTACAATCATTTTTTTTTGACTCTTGTCAAGTACTGCCAAACTGTTCTCCAGGAAGCATCGTTTTATAGCGCCAGGAGTCTGTTTCCCCACGACATTGTTTTAAAAACGTATTTTTAACCAATGCAAGGGATTGATTTTGTTTTATTTTTTGTTTTATGTGTCCTGGCCTGCGTGTGTTCCTCCTGGGTGCACAGCTCATTTGTCCCTTTGACCGAGTAAATCTCTTTAGTCACTGCATATGTTGGAGACTCAGCTCTCCCTCAGATCAACTCGACGTAATATCCTCATCTTAGTGATTTTCCTTTCATGTTCATTGTTCTTTGCTGTGCATACATTTCAAATTTTTATATAACTGAATTTGCTGCCCCCCACCCCCGACATTGATGATTTCCCCTTTCGCTTCATTAGACAATCAATAACCTCCCTGGAAAAGGATTTTCTTTTCCCTACACCTAATGTCCTGCGCTTTCCATCTGGACTTGTCCAAAATCTCTCTGGTTCCCATGAACGCTCATTGTTCATGATCCTTACATGAAGATTCCCTTTGGTCATCTCCTGACAGTCCCTGGATAAACGTGTCCACCTCAGTTCCACCGTTGCCCCAGCCCGTGCAAAGGGCCGGTGGTCATGGCTCACTGCTGACTGGATCCCTCCCTGTGGTTTTCACTGCTCCACCCATCCCAGCCCCACTACCAACTTCTCGGGTTTTCCATCTGGTTTGGCCCTGTAATCCCACACCTGGCCTCTAAGCTTAGGTGTTTTCCACACCAAAAAATGGCAGTAATAACAAATGCCCTCACCCTTTAATTCAGCCAAGTGAAGGCCAAACTTTCTCGAAAGGAATTATGCTGGAAAACTAAGGGGAAATAAAAATAAACTCCAGGAAGTGACATCAAAACGGAAGAGATTTTACATCCTACATAGATCTTGCCTCCGATTGGCTTAGAGGTGGGGGGGGCTGGGGGGTAAGATCCAGCGTCTCCCCATCTCTCATACTCAGAACCCTGTGTTTTAGGCTCCAGCCCAACTGGGTTCTGTCTTCTGGGAGCACATTCTCTTCATGGACTTTAAGGTAAATACCTATTGGCTTTGACTGGTGTCTGTACTTGGCCCCCCACAAAGCCCACCCTGTACTTCCCTGGGGAGCACCCTTATCAGAGGTACCTCTACTTCCTGGTCACAGCTGGTGGGAGACGCCATTTATGGCCATTTCAAAAACCCAGGCCTCTTCTGACCTGGTGGGTCCCTGTTCCAGTCTGAGGGGAGCCAGGTTCTCAGCTCCCTTCTAGAAAGCACATCCTTGACAGACCCTGAGCCCTTCTTGGCTCAAAGGATTCCTTCCACCCGCCTCCTCAAGTCTCCCCCTGGCTCCTCCATCAGGAATGGTTGTGCAGAAAGAAAATCAGGCCTAGCTTACAAATCTCAGAAACCTAGACTCTACAGCGGCAGCAGCAGCAGTCACCCACAGAAAGCAAGAGGGTGGTCAACACCAAGAACCCCTTCGACCCCTCCTCCTCTGCTTCTGAGGGTTTTGGTCACGCCACCCGCCTTGGTCCCTATTCCTGTACACCTGCAGAGGGGTTTGGCATTTCACGTGGAAAAGTTGCCACCCCCTGCCCGCTGGGAAAATGCCCTTAGCCGAAGCCCTGCCTCCCTTCTCCTGCCCTAGTCCCTCCCCAGTCCCGCCCCAGTCCCGCCCCAGTTCTAGCCCTTTAACTGTCAAGAGGGCGGACCCGGAAGACGTGGATGGTCCCATTACTGAGGGACACGACCAGATATCTGCCGTCCACCATGGTGGTCACCCGGGGCTTTTCCAGGCCATGATAGGCCGTCAGAAAGTCGCCGAGCAGTGACCCCTTCGGATCGAGAATCACTACCTTGTTGACCTCACGAAGGGTCAGAAAGATGTAGCCCTTCTTATCTACAGACACGGAGCCTGGCTGGCAGCCGTGCAGGCCTGGCCCCCGGTACTCCCCGATCACCTGACCCAGCCCATCACAGACCACCAAGCTATTCTGCTGCCAATCTGACCCCACAAAATTGCCCTGGGGGCTGGTGGTCAGGAACACCAGCGCCCGCAGGCCCCGGTTGGCCTTGCCCCCAGGGATAAACCGGGTGGCCAGGCTGCCTTCCATGTTATACACCTCCACGTGGCCCGACACGCTGACAGCCACTCGGTCCCCGCTCGGCATGGCAGCCACGGCGTGGCTGGCCTGAGAGAGGCTCAGCGCCCGGCGCCACTGTACCTCACCCTCAGGGCTGATGAGATAGAGTCGCGCACCGGCTGAAAAGGCCACGGCGTCCCGCAGGGCAGCCACACTGCACGGGGAGCAGCCCTCGGGGACGGGCACCGCGCCCTTGTAGTCGCCATTGAGGGAAAAGCGCTTCAGGGCTCTGTTCTGCTCGTCTGCCACCAGTATCTCCCGGGGGCCAAATGGACAGAGCCCAGTGATCCGGGGAGACCGCTTGTCTCCTGGCATCCGTGTGGGGAAGCTGCAGAAGAAGATGGGCCTGGGGAGGAGGCCGGAGCCCTCCAGGTTTGGCCCGGGTGCTGGGCTGGGCTCCCGGGAAACTGACTTGAACCTGCCTTTGAATTTCCTCTTCTTGTTGGATCTGCCACCCCTCGGTATCTGCGCTCCTCCGTCTTCTTGGGGTGTCTGGGCTCTGTCCTCTTTGGGGGTCTGGGCTCCATCTTCTTGGGGAGTCTCGGCTCTCTCCACCTTTAGGATCTGAACTTCATCTTCTTGGGGTGTCTGGGCCCCATCTCTACTCTGGGGCTGGGTTTCATCGCCAACCTGGCTTCCAGCTCCATCTTTCTCGCTGTCCTTTTGGGACTGCTGCTCCTCAAACGAGAGCCTGAGCAGGTGGCAGTTCTCGTCCAGGAGCCCAGGATGGAGCTCCAGCCGGGGCAGCAGGCAGGGGGCTGGCCCAGGCAGCCAGGGACAACCCTGCAGCTGCCGGAGCCTCTGAGCAATCGCCCCCTCCAGTGAGAGTATCTCAGCCTCACGACCCAGGCCGAGCACCCGACGGGCGAAGGTAGCCGCCTCCCTGGCCATTTGCTCCTGGCCCTCCAGCTCCCTCAGCCTCTCCCGAGCAGCCTCCTCGGCAGCCTCCACGTGGGCCCGGAGCTGCCCCAGCACCTCCTGCTTCTGGGCCAGGAGGGCCCGGAGGACCCCTTCAGCTGCCTCCTCCACCTGCGTCCCCACCCTGGCTGCCTGCTCCCGCAGCTGGGCCAAGGCTTCCTTTTCCATCATCCGAGTGGCCTCTAGCTCGGCCAGGTTGTTGTCCACACCGGCCAGTAGCTCCTCGAGGCCTGGCTTCCGGGCACGCACAGCCTCGGCCAGGGGCAGGCAGGGGTGGTCCAGGTGGGGGTCCAGGCGGCACTCTCGGCACAGCAGCTGGGAGCAGGGCTGGCACAGGAAGCGCAGAGCCTCCCCCGGGTGCTGGGGACACTGGGCCGCCTGGCGCTCCCGGGCCTCCTCATCGTAAAACCCCGCCCTGTAGCCCACCAAGTCCACCACCCGGTGGGTGTGGGTCTGCCGGGTGCAGCGGTGCCCGTCAGCACAAGCCTGGCACAGGTCGTCAGCGCAGTCCAGGCACCGGGCTGTGGCCGGCCCCCCTGCGCTGGTGCCTCCCATCAGGGGACACAGCGCGCAGGCCGGTTTCCCTGCGCACAGGTCTCCATCGGCCCGGGCCTTCACTAAATCCAGGAGCCCATTGACAAAAAAGTTGGTCTTGAAGGCGGCCACACCCGTGGGTGGCACAGGTACGGACTCACGGCACTCAGGGCATCGGAGGTGGCCACCCTCAGCCAGCTGGGCCAGGCAGTCCTGGCAGTAGGTGTGCAGGCAGGGCAACGTCTTGGGCACCTGTAGCTGCTCCAGGCAGATTTTACAGGCCAGGAAGTCGCTGTTCAGGGCCTCCAGCAGGGAGGGCGAGGAGCCCTGGGAAACCATTCTGCAAGGGAAGGGTCAGGGTCAGAAGGCAGAGGACACCCCCACGGTGCCTCCAGCCTGCCCTCCCGCCTCTCCCCCTTCCTCCAGCCCCGCCAGGTCCAGGGTCTCACCTGAATGGCCAGGAATTTGCTTCTGGTCTCTTGAGCTAAAGCGCTGCCTCTCTCCTCCCTGCATGCATTCAGCAAATGTGAAGAAGTAAAGGCTGTTTTCAAAGTCAGGTCCTGCGAGAAAGAACAAGACCAAGAAGCCCAGCCTCAGAGAGCTGATGGTGGAATGACCAG